TTTGTGATTTATTGCCCTTGAATGTTTTGTCTTCCTGATCTTATATTTTCGAGAAGCACAACTTTGCTATACCAGTTGAGGGGCAAACGAATTTGAGAAAGTTGGCTAGAGAAAACGTTTTTGGTGGGATTGATAGGGTTCTTCTCGGAAACGCATTAGTTTCTTATGTAAGCTTGTTTAAGATTTCCCGTTAACAGTCGTAAGTGTGTTATAAGAATCTAATAGAAGTTCGATTCTTGTTGAGTGCGATTTGTGGTTTTTTTTATTTTTTGTGTCACTCATGCACGTCTGATGATATCCCGTATATAACTTACACTGTAAAATTAAAATGTCCAGATTAGTCATCAGTTTGATTCTGATTTTAGTTACTGAGATGCACCTATTATTTTTTAGTCACTTAGAATTTAGTCGCGAAGAATTTTAGTCACCAATCTGATTCCGGTTTTAGTCAGTTTTCTAGTTATATAAATTTTTACAGTGTATTACTTCACCCTGAGATTAGCTATCCTTTTTTATTAGGAAAAAAAGTCCTGCAAGGATAACAGGATCTTGAATATTTAGATCCTAGCAGGAAACAGATAAGAAGTGCATAGGATTTTGTCTAGGGATCTGGTCAACTATAACGAAAAAAAAATGTGTTGTGTCATCTCACTTTTATCGATGTGTCATTCACATATATTTCGGTAGAGAACGACGAGCTGTTTCAGTGTATTTTTTGCTTTAGATGCTATGGGTAATTTAGGTAGTTCGTCGAAGTATACTATGCGTACATACTAGTGTTAATGGTCGAGAATATGCGACTTTTCACGGAAATAGTATGCACCTTTTTTAAAAAATTCATAACGCATCAACCTAACATTACTAAAGTCTGAAAACTTGAATTTATAGGTAACTTTAGACGGAGAATCGAACGCACATAATTATATTGAAAACTAAATTTTGACCATATTACTATTTTGGGGCACTCATAGAATTAATTAGTCTCTTAATTATCCTACTTTAATAACTTTCCAACTCTAAATGCATCAATTACAAAGTGGATAAATCCAGTACATACTTATGTATTTGGTCGTTTATCGCTGCGTACAGGTCGTTCACTTTATTTTGAAACGATTTGCATGCAGTTTTCCTTTACAAATCGTTGCAGAAAAAAAATTCCTTACTATACCTAACGATAGACAATTTAATTCTCTACAAGATTATATATTCATTTGTAAGATTCATCTTTGATGTTTGACACAGTAAGTCTAACAGAAAAAGCTCCAAACTTCTTAAATGCACCTTCAAGAAATCGATTTTTTGCGCAAAATCTCGCTAAAAATCACTTATTCAACAAAAGGGTATACCGAAAAATTCAGCAAGAAATTTTCTACAATATGATGTTTTTTTGGATGAAATCAGAGCGAAAAAGAGACTTTTAGAAAGGTCATTTTCTCCTTTTTTTCGGTCATCTTAGCGACAACCAGTATTCCCTAGTTTTTCTGGTAAAAACAGTAGCAGATAGATTTATTTGTAAGTTACACAGTCTAATAGAGCGCGAAATTCTGCATTTGTTGTTCTATAAACTAATGATTTGAACTTTGGATTTTATACTGGAATAGTTAAAACTTTTTTTAAGTGCTAGAAACTTCGGTGGACTTTGAAGTTTATGTATTAAAGACACTACAATTGAAATAAATTTTCTTCAAGTAAACACTTTTGTAAAGTATGAAATTCTTCGCCATTTGACTGTAATAAAATTATTTCAGATCTTTTTGTACTCATTACAAGCAATTAAAAAAGAGAGCAGTTTGCACTTTAAAACTGCGTGGTGTAGTTAAAAAATTTGGAGCTTTTCCTGCTAGACATAGTGTGCCAAACATTAAAGATTAATCTTACAAATGAATATATAATCTTGTAGAGAATTAAATTGTCTATCGTTTGGTGTAGTAAGGAATGTTTTTTCTGAAACGATTTGTAAAGAAAAACTGCATGCAAATCGTTTCAAAATAAATTGAACGACCTGTAGACAATCAACTTGCACCGAATAAGGGATATGAGTCATCACCTTTTAAGGGAATTGATTCATACAAATGTGAAAATGAATAAAACTAAAATTCTGCAAATATTAAATTCTGTTATCTCCACTTTAGGAAAATGTTTTTTTGCTGCATTTTTCTCGCATTTGAATCTACATTAGTTTTAATAAGAAAAAATAGAATATATATCAATTTAATACTAGAAATCAGTTTAAATTACTTTGTAGTCTTAACTCAAAGTAGTACAACGTTAATTTATATTAGTTTTTAAACGCGAATTAATCTAAATCAATTTGTAATAATTAATTTATTTAAATTATTAGAAAAATATTTTTTAAAACTAATTTTGAATTTGATATTTATTCGAATGAAGTTAGGTAAACCAACTAATACAAATTAATTTTTCTCATAATATGTTGAAATTTTTGAAAAACACAAAATCAACTATTTAGTTACAATCTTTTTAAATATAAATGTTTTTGTAATACACTTGAAATAATTTGAATAATATAAATTGGTCGTAATTTGAAAAGGACAGCAGTTTATAGAACAAGAATATTTCAGACTTACTCAGAATAAATTAATTTAAACTAATTTGGAGAAAATTAATGTTTGTCAAAACTAATTTCGCTGTTGAAATTAAAACAAATTAATTTTCACTGCCGAAGTAGATATAAATTAATCTTCACGCTGACGTAAATTAATTTTTCAAGTTTTTTGGGGTGAAAAATTATTGCCAATAGGAGCCTTCTTCCTTTTACCGTCTTCAGCTATTTTCGTTATTATATGAGCTTCCACAGCAGTTTCTTTATACTCATTGAGAACATCGGCGCTTGATTTAGCAACAGCACTATAATTAGAAAAATTCAGTTTTGCAACATCGAACACAAATGCGAACGACTCGTGACTGAGATGAGCATCTCGACTCACAGTATTACCTTCTATCTACACGATAAGATAAGGCAAACAAGAAATATACAGGTAAGTATATACAAATCAGGTAACTTTTTGCAAACTGGGCTTAACAAACAAGAAAACTAGAAAATGAAAAGCCACGAATTAAACAATATATAAGAGTTACTGTTATCTTTAACAATTAAACTTGCACAGTTAATATAAACAATAACTGACACTCTAAACAGAGAAATCTAGGAAACAAAATTTCTCAGCGCAGATCCAATAATTTTAGTATCTTTACCTTATGATAGCGACATTGGGCGGATCTGCTCTAAGCTTAGATTAGTTTGCTTTTGTTTAGTTTTATTCATTTTGACATTTGTATGAATCAATTCTCTTAAACGGTCATGGCTCATATCCCTTATTCGGTGTAATTTGATTGATTTCCATTAAATATCGATGAATTTTACAAAAGAATCCTTGAATTATCTTTAATCTAGTTGTTAGTATTTCCTTCCTGTAATCAAAAATACTCAATTTCTTTGCCATTTTACATGTGCATCTATCATGAATTCTGCTATACCCTTTAAACGGTTGAATTCCCTTAAATGGTGAACATAGTATATCTTTGCCTTTCTGTGATTTTTGCTAGCGACATCAACCAAGCTGCTTTCATTGGCTGCCTCCTCTTCGCCGATAGATAAGACTTACTTAACAGCCATCTTTTGTTTGTTTATTCTATTCTTTCTTCTCATTCTTAGATTGTCACGTTACTTGTTACTTCAACTCATTCATTACTAAAATGGATAGTATAGTGAAAAGAAAACGAAAAGTGTTTGAATGCGTGACCGATATATTTATTTTATTGTCGTCTTTAGTTCATTTTTCATTGCGATACGGTTCGTCGTTCTACTTGACAGTCTCCATAAATTTCTACCAAGTCGTCTGAAAAATGAGTTCACTGTAAAGTTTGTTTATCAGTAGAAATTTCTGTTTGCGATGTTTTGAATTTCAGAATGACTTTGTTTATCTTTATAATATTGAAGAATCCTCTAAAATTGTTCTTCTTTGCTTTGTAAATGTTTTCTTGACGAAGCATTTTTGAAACTGTTCATTCATTACTTAAACTATTTGAAAGTGTTCACACAGTGTCTCGAATCACAATTATCAAACATGACTCCTTTGATGACCCGTTTTTAAAGCTCTTTTTGTTCTAAAGTCAATTGTATCTTATTGGTTTTCCTGAATAGAAGAGATAGGCATGTTTGTCTGCAAGAATGTATTTCTTTCTTTTCTTAAGTTAAAACTGAGTAAAATGACAATCGCTACTGCTTATATTTTTTTTATTCGTAACGACACTATCTGCTTACCTTTCAGTCAGAGTACGTCGTATTTGTTAAATAAGATAGTGTTATTTTTTTCTATTCTAGTACTTTAGTAAATTTTTTTTAATATTATATAAAATAATGGCTGATTCGACAAGTTTAATTAATGATTCGACAACAACAACTGATGTTTTATTAGAAGACGATACAAATCAAGATGAACGATTACATTGTTCTTTATGTAAACAGCTCAACTCGCAGCCAAAAATTCTGCAATGTTTACATGTTTATTGTTTACAATGTCTTAAAACAAAACAAGAACAAAACACAATCTCCTGTCCAGAATGTCAACAAATAACACAAGTATGTTTATAATTAGCCAGAAATTTTGATAGAAAGTAGAGTGAAGATGCTTTTTACGTTTAAAAAACGATATTCTTGAGATAATTTTGTAGTTGATGATTTTTATTTCTTCAGAACGTATTTTTTTATTGCTTCTTTTAGTTGCAAACTGGTGTTTTAGAAGATGATTTATTCGATGATATGGTATTATTGAATGAAGTTGAACTTCGTCTAATTCAGAATGGTCTTGTTCGTTGTACGTCATGTCGAACAGAAGAATTAGCATTTGCTCGTTGTAAACAATGTAGCACATATTTATGTCAACAATGTGTTCATGCACATCAAAATATGAAATGTTTTTTAAATCATACAGTATGTATTTGATTAAACTAAATATTGTTTATATAAATTAGAATTGTTTAACTATTGTTTTTCGTTGTAGGTCGTCAATCTAACTGATTTAACGTCGTTTGATCGTTGTACAGCATGTCCTGTTCATCCATCGAAAGAATTAAAATATTATTCAGCATCACTCGGTCAATTATTGTGTGATGAATGTTTAGATAAACATCCTCAATCTTCATATGAAAAAATAAGTCCACAATTTATTGAACAACTCAAAGAGGATTTGGAGGGGAAAATGAAAATCGGTACAACGAGAATAGATAATGCACAATCATCTGTAGATGCAAAATTGAATCAATTACAAACAGATTATGAACAAACAAAAGAAAAGTTACAAGAGAATTTTCAATTATTTCAAAAAATATTAACAAAAATATATGTAAGGAATTGTATATACTCTTGAGTTTATCTTCTCAAAATATTTCTATTATGCATAATGTTAGTATTCTTCTTCTTTTTCTCGTTTTCTAGAGCGATCAATTAACATCATTATCAGATATACAACGTTCATTAGAGATGAAACTATTAGACGAAATACATTTAGTTCAAATGACTACACAACGATTTGAAGATGCTAAAGATTTTACAAAACGAATTCTTGCGCAATCTAGTGGGTAAGAATTTAATAGTTTAATTAAGAAAACTTGTATGTGTGTGTATTCTTGTAATTTAAAGTATAAAGGTCAAAAATAGACCTGTCCCCTTCTGAAGATAATATTAAATTTGTTCATTAGATTGAGTCAGATTACCGTAACATAATGCGAATATAACTATTTGATCTCTCTACTTTATAAAGTAAATGTTAAAGTTAACAAGTTGTTAAAAATGAATACTAGAAACATCGAGTCGATTGTGTAACTTCGATCGTGAGATTAGGAGGAGTGACTTTAGTTTTACAGTTTACTGCAAAAACCTAGATGTTCGAGGTCATATTTGTACAAAATTTATCTTGTGTTTTTCGATAGCTCATGTTTTAGAATACTATAGTGGCTTTGCTTTCTGCGTATCCTGAAAGAATAAATCTCAATTCAAATACTAACGTGACAGTTATTAATTAAATTTTTCTATTTTCAGAGTTGAACTTGTTAAAATGAAATTATTAATTGATCGTCAATTAGTATTTTTAAATGAAAATATATCACTGACTGATGGAGATCAATCATTCTCGTCTTCTTCATCTCAAATTGATTTTATACAATCAACTTCGAATAATGATATTGAACAAGTGTTCAAACAACAGTTTGGAAAATTGATTTCAGCCGCTGAAAAACAACAACACGATAATGAGAAAAATGAAGATGAAGAAAACAAACAACAGCAAGAAGAGGTAAGGAGCGAGGCGAAGAATGTACCGTTATTGGAAAAGTATTGTAAACTAAACTTAAGAATTTGTTCACAGAATTAGTAAAATTTCGATATCTTGAATTATGTTAATTAGTATGCCAACTGTTTGATATTTTTATGAATGATATTTAAGTGAAATCTAGAAATATTCTATTTGTTTTGGTTTTTTAGTTGTTTAGTTTATCTGGATTATCGTCTGACCATTCAGCAACTACTCTTTCATCAGCATCAATCGATCCGCTTGCTTATTACGTCGATAAACCTCATATTCAACATTTTAATGGTTTTTCGTGTGTTCCATCGCACGGCGGTGATGCGACACCATCATTGACTAATACAACGTTAACAACATCGGGTTCCACATCAGCCGCAGTTCCTTCACAGCAACCAACTGTCGATTTGCATGGAACATCACCATTTGTCAATTCAATTCAAACAGAAAATATTCGTGCACTCGAAAGTATTTTTAATCAGCAATCACATGCACAACAACAATTCCAGCCAATACAACATAATCCAACGTTAGACTTTTCTCAACAAAACAACGAAAGTATGTGTAGATGTAATGAAACCGTATAAGAGAGTCTTTTATCTTTGAAATTCTACATTGGTCATTGAGAAGGTCATGCATAATCATCGAAGGAAACTGTCGATGATTTGTGGACTAATATGCTGCATGTAAATTATCTGTTTTTTTCTTCTCATTTCAGCATTTTCAATGACTGGCTATAAAAGTTTGCAACAAAATGGAAGACAATGTCACTCACCATTACAATTACCTACAAATGGTAATGTCTTAAACGACCGTATTGTTCGCATGCAAAGTGATGATACCTGGCATCTGCTTTTTAAAATCTTTCTCATTGATGTTGTTTCTATTACTAGTCTAACGATATATTATGAATTTTATTTAGGATTTCCTGGTCGTGTGCCTAATTATGCTGCTTCATCACATAATGGCTCATCTGTTGGCAATTCACCTCGATCAACAACGCCCTACTCTCAACTGCCACTCGTTCCACCTACTCAGCCACAATTTTTCTCATTTGGTATGCCACAACATGCAACACAACAAGGTAATTGTCAATCAATGCAAGTGCGATCGAAATTTGGTTCATTGGGTCCACAAAAAGGTCAATTTAATTCACCGCATGGATTTTGTTTGGGTCAAGATGAAGAGATAATTGTAGCCGATACAAACAACCATCGAATTCAACTGTTTAATATACAAGGTGAATATAAGTCTCAATTTGGAATACCAGGACGAGAGGAAGGACAATTATGGTATCCACGAAAAGTGGCTTATATTAAACAATCATTAGGTGGAAAATACGTTATTTGTGATAGAGGAAATGAGCGTTCTCGAATGCAATTATTTACACGAAACGGTCATTTTATTAAAAAAATTAGTATCCGATATATTGATATTGTCGCTGGTTTAGCTATCACTCATTATGGTAAGCAGATATTCTTTTTTGTCAATGAGAACTATTTGTCATCTTTTACTTGTCAAAAATACGCCTTATTAATACGGTTTGTTCTGAAACGTTTATTGATTCTTAATAGTAATTTACTACCGATAAAACAAATATTTAACAATCCATTTGTTGTATTTTAGGTGATATTGTTGTTTGTGATAGTGTTAGTCCAACGGTATTTACAATTAGTTCCGAAACGGGTGAATTATTAAAATGGTTTGATTGTTCAGATTATATGCGAGAACCATCGGATATAGCCACATATCAACAACATTATTTTGTTTGTGATTTTAAAGTAATCTAAAATAAATAAGTGAATCTATCCAATAGTTCTCTATATTGGTATCTACTCTCTTGTAGGGTCATTGTGTTTGCGTATTCGATGATTGTGGAAAATTTTTAAGACGAATAGGAAATGAAAATATAACAAATTTTCCGAATGGAATTGATATTAGTGATGAAGGTATGTAGGTCTCTCTAGTATCTTTAAACAATGACTAAATTGTTTCTTTTGTCATTAGGTGATATTGTTATTGGTGATAGTCATGGTAATCGTTTTCATTTATCTGTTTATTCATGTGAAGGTGATTTAATTAAAGAATTTGAATGTCCATCGCACAAAGTTAGTCGCTGCTGTGGTCTTAAAATAACATCACAAGGTTACATTGTTACATTGGCAAAAAATAATCATCATTTACTCGTATTAAACACTCTCTATTTAACGTAAGGTGTAGGAAAATAAGGCAATCAATCAATCGATATATAATGGTTCTCGTTTCTTTTTTTTAAACTTTACTTTTTTCAAAAAGCTATTGCTTTTCCTTTTTTGTCTTTTTCTCTTTTTGGTTGTGAAAGTGAACAGTCTGAATGATACCACATAAATATGCACTTTCTCTCTCTCTATGTCTCACCATTTTTTTTTGCTCTTTTTATTTTTTATTATCGTTTTTTTTTTTTTTGTTAAACATTTACACCAAAAAAACAAGAACAAGCGATGATGAAAAAAGCATACACTTTTCTATCTGCAATTTTGTGATATTAGAAGTACGTCTTTTTTTTTTTTTTGTTTTAATTTTACCTTCTGTTTGTTTTTGTGTTTGGCTAAGCGAATGCGCGTGGCAATGTTGATTTAAGCGAACGACTCTATGTAGGAACTTTTTTAACTACTAGTATCGCTCGTTTATCAGTACAAACATCTTTTGATCTAATGATACTTTGCCCTTAGTTGACGTGCGTACAGTATCGGTGCATGTATTTTTACCACCTCGTGCATTCGTTTTGTCTTTCGATTATTTCATTTTTCTCACTATCAGAAGACAAATAATAGTCAAGATTGCTGGCATTTTTTATTATTATTATTATTATTTAGAGAAGAAACTTTATTGTTCATGTGACTTTTGCATCTTCTTCTCTACATTTTTTTTTACACTCAGTTGTTCTTACGCCTTTTTTTTTCATCGTTGTTGTTGGTTTCGATAAGACTAACGGTGTGTGTGATGTGTGTGAGTGTTTTTTTTTGTTTTTTTTTCTGTTGTTCGTAAAAAAAAAATTAAAATAATTACAAAAAAATTTGATAAATTCTTACAAAAAAAAGTTATTACACAAAAAAATGCTAGAGACGAGTTTTGTGTAGTGTGTGATTTTTTTTTTTTTTCGATACAGCATTAATACTACTATTGGATATTTTTTATTCTTGTTTTGTTTTCTTTTTTTGCTTTTATTTTTTGGTTTTTTTCCACATATATAATTCAAACCCGGTTAGAAGAGGGCGTGTGTGTTTGTGTGTGTGCTGGTTACTTTTTTTTTTCTTCTGCGTTTGATTGTGTAAACTATTTACAAAATGATAACATCTTTTGTTATCATCTTGTTATCATTTTTATTTTACGGCTCTGATCAGTCTTATGTTTTACAAAGAATTTTCCACTAATCCTCTCTAATCGAGATGAGTCCACATTTGCGATCAAGACGAGCAAATGTTGAGAAATACTGTTCTATTACGCTATTGTCTTAAATCATTTTAATTTAATATTTTGAAAAGTGATTGATAACATTTCGGACAGAATATTCTCTTCAGTTATTCACTCAGAAAAGAATCGTTACAGATCTTGTAGAATCACCTTCTTTTATTAGAGGAGTCAGAGTTCGTCTCTTTATTATTTATGAACGTATGAAGTTAAACATTCTTTTTATGTAACGTCATTCTTTGGTGCTGTTCTTTCCTTCTATTTACTAATTTTCAAAGACGCACATACACACACACACACATACACACACAGAAGCCAATATTTGCTCAAAACAATAACATATATCATTTATTTTTTTTATTATTATTTTTTGTTGTTCATTTTTTCTACGCATTTTTTTTTGCTGCCAGATAGTAGAGAACACCACTTTCTTCTCCACATATTATGTTTTGACACAACTTTTTTTGATTAATAAAAAAACAATTCAATTTTTTTTTTCGTACGCTTATTGCATCATATTCTCTTTCTCTATTCTTCCATTATCTTTTTTCTTTCTCCACATGTCCTGATTGTGATAAAAAATATCTATTCTCTATCTACTATAAATAAACAAGCAATCGTGTCATCTCTGTCTGTTCTCATGTATATTTGTCTTTATTGCTATAATAATCCTGTTGTTGTGGTCGTTTGTGGCCCCTTTTTTTCTCTCTTTACACACTGTTGTTTGTCCCTTTTTTTTGTGCTGACTTTATGTCGTTTGTGCTAAAATAAAATAAAATTAAAGAAAAAAAGTGACCTATTCGCTCTGTATCTCGGATAAAACGTTCATCAAGGTTTGAATTTGACTTTCTCAAATTGAGATGTTATGCGTTAAATCGTGTTTTGATAGTTAGAGTTACCGACACGTTACCAGAAGTCCTGGATTTCCGGTGTCAGAAGCAGGAGGGGGGATTGGTCGCTCCCTAAAACATTTTTAAACTTTCCGGCAAAAGCTCTGACGTTTTTCTACAAGCAACTTTTTGCCAAAAATTTAGAAAACTGTTTTTCACCATCCACTTTCTGCGAAGAAAATTTTTTAGCTCCTCCCATCTCTGAGAACTATCGGAAACCGAGACATGGACCTGGACCTACGGTATGAAGTGAACTTTTAAAATTGATGTAACTAATTCTAAATGAGTCGCTTTGACACTAATCATTATCTTGAAAGAAAAATGCTCAAAATGAAGCTTCTATTAAAGAAAAAAGCGAAAACAGAAAAGAGAAGTGTAGGCGTTCGAATCAACCTACCATTTTAAAATTCCTTCTTTTGCCCATTTTTTAGACCTAGATTCAATCAAGTCAGATCCTAATCATAAGGAGGATCTTGGCTTCTCTACACGTATTTTAATCGGAGCTACCGAGACATGTAAAATACGTCTTCAGTTCAATATGTTGATAAGATAAAGGGAACTAATAGTTATTGAAGTTTATTAATTTGTTAAGTTAACTGCTAGCGAGTTGAAAGATACTGGTTGTGATTACTCTTTTTTAAGATGAATTTAAATCTTCGATTTTTAACAAAACGAATATCTTCGTTATTAAGATTTAATTCGTCAACAACAGAAACGACGCTGAAAGATTCAACGAAAACGAAATCAGTACGTGGTTGGCGTAAATATTTACATTTATTAAAAGATCGTCCTGCTTCTCACATTACAGCATTTGCTATTTTACACGAATTAACAGCCATCGGTGCATTTCCAATCGTCTACTATCCTCTTAAATGGTCACAATGGGGTCAATACATTCCAGTACCAACACACTACATTGAAGGTAAATCAAAATAGCATACATCTACCGTAGTGAAGAAACCATCTTTCCTCCTTGTTTAGAGGGTTATCGATTTATCTCACGTGTTCGCCAACGTTATGGTTATTCAAGTCTTGATCCAGGAAATCCTGTTTTACTCAATTTGTCATTGACATATGGAATTGTTAAACTATTGTTACCGCTCCGAATCGGACTTAGTCTTTATTTGACGCCTGCGTTTGCGAGACTAGTTGTTTTACCTATTGTTGATCCTTGTAGAAAATTTTTTAGATATCTTGTATTCAGACTTCGAAATAAAAGTTAATTTATTAAGTATTATATTCAGACTGCTGCGGTTCATACACGACGAAAACGAAAATTGAAAATATTTAACAGCAGTATCAACAACAATTTAACAAAGTTTGCGATCTTGTTCAGTGCCTGTTTAGCTCTGACAGATCGCACGATACCTCTTCTAATCCGCAGGCAATGTGTGATCAAGGATTTCTGATCACAATTCTGTCTGAAAAATAAGACCAAATCAGTTAGCTATCCTATTCTTTGCACTTCAAAGGAGAAAGTTTTCACGCTAGACTCTTACCTTCTCTCCAAGTTCCATCGATCATGAGCGAAGTATATTATTATGATGGTAACTCTCTCTCTGCCTTTCTTTCCCATTACATAGCTCTTGCATGTGAAGAAAAGAAAGAAGAGTGTGACAGTTGGAAGAGTAGTGTGTATTTGAACGATGGTTAAAATGGGAACTTTTTCCTATATCCCCACCCGATGTCAACGTGAAGAAGTGAAGTGCATGCGCGTTCTGTCAACAAGATAAAGATGTGCGACTGTGTAAGTGGAAAGAGGATGTTATTGTCGATGATGGGTAAATGTATAGGTAATAAAAGTGAGATATGGACGCTCTATAATGAGCGAATGGAAGTTTGGCTGAAGAACGTGAGTGTGGTTATGTGAATTCATGTAAAATCAGTCTGGAGTAATAACTACTGTAGTACAACCAGTGAGTTGACAAAAACGTCTGACTATGTCGGCCTGGTCCGCTCATAACCTTTTTAAGCAAGCATATTTTTGAAAAATTGCGGTAAGTTACGTAGTTTTCCGTTAAGATATTCGGTTAATATTTAAAGACTATAACTCAAACGGACTTATCAAAGGTAGTTATAGTCCTATTTTTTTAGGTATTTTTGGACAATTTTGAGCAGCAGTCTTGCTTTTTTGTTTGAGAAGATATGCTGTTGAAATCTGACGACCAGATCCAGACTCGTCACTTCAGTCCGTCGACTAATACATGTTTGCAATTGACGACGTTATATTTACATAATGAACTAAAACGAAAAAGAGTACAATTTTGAAAAAGCATATGTAAAACAGACAGTAAGAGAATCGAAAAAAGCCGCTGTTATACTGATTGTTTTAGTAAATACAAGAGTACAGATATCACGTTTTTTGTTTCACATATTGAATAGCGGAAAAAATCTTTTCCTATTCGGCAACGCTGTAAACTTATTGCAATTTAAAACCAATAAAACGTAAGTATAAATTGATTTATGAGATTCCCACTAGAAGGCAAATTCTACCAGCGATAAAGATTGATTCAAAAAAACATAACTTAATGTGAGTTCTGTTTAGTCTAAAATAAAGATTGATTATATATCTTCTTGTGATTGTACTAGAAACAAAAAAAGACGGAAATTAGCTAACTAATTGAAAAAGCTATGTGAGCGCAATAGGTGAAAGCCGTTCAATTCAAATATTCATTTATTTTTGTGTTTAGATGTCTGATGAACTGACATTTAGTCCAATACCTGATTGTACATCTTTACCACTCGAATTTTTCACTCCATGCGCTGAACGTCTTCCCCCTATAAATAAACCCTATTGTCTCGAACAAGATCTACCAGTTATTCTCGAAGTGTCCGTTGAACAAAGTCCAATAATTTCTGATCCATCGCATCTGTCTGAGCGGCAGTTTTCAGTTCGATGTGGTCAGATCGTTGAAAAGTTAACATGTCATTTAAAATCATTTGAAGAAGCTGATCGTCATTTACAATCACTGGATAAAAATATTCAAGATTTTTTTTGTATTTTGGAACAATTTCGTAGACATTTAAATCAAATGGCACCTACTGATCAACGAAGACAAAAACTAACCGATACAACAGATTATCTTGAAGGTAAATAACTGTAAAACATCAAATAACTTATTTAGCTTCTATTTCATTCTTGCAGGTCGTATCCAACAGATGAATGTTAAAAAGAATGAAATTCGAATAAAAATTCAACAGCTATGCTCAACATTTTTAACACAACCAACAAATAGTACTGCTAATAGTCAAGATGGATGTCAAAATCTTCCACGTTTAATTGAATTAGTTCAATGTAGTTTTCGTCAAAAATTAAATTTATTAGAAATGGCTAGACGTGAACATGAACAAATGACAAAATTAGAAGAAAAAAAAGCTGATCGAAGAGAATTATTCACACAATTGAATGAAAAATTAGATTATTTACGACAACAACAGCAAGATAAGAGAGAGGTATACCTGAACTGGAGTGCATGTCATACTCTAAATCGTTTTTCTATCATATTCATTCTTTTTACAGGTGCTACCAGTCGATGTTGGTGTTGATGATGGTGACATTAATCAAGCATTGATGAACAAATATTTATCGTTAGTTGAACAGAATAAAATGCTTAAACAAAAATTAAAAACAAATGTCAAAATACTTTATGATGTTACTCAACAAATTTCAGTGCCACAAGGGAATTAACTTATCGAATTATCTATTTTTTCTGCTCTTTTTCTTACAAGAGTATAAATTTTTACCGAGTTTTCTTTTTATTTTATTTATGAAGATGAATTCAATAAAACATAGAAAAAGTGATAATAATGAAAAAAACAAACTAAAAGATCATCTGGAGTAGCCTGGGGTAATTATGATCAGGATAAAATGTACCGAGTAAAATTGCTCACTCTCACACCTGCTCGCCCCTTTGATGTTGTTTGATCTTACAAAGCCAATTTGGGACGAACTGAGAGGACACCCCTCTGTACACTTATATGCGATCAGTATTTTTATCATTTCAATTTGTATATGCATTAAATAGCATCTTATTTCAAACATTAGTAAAACAAGCATCTTTTTTTGAGAAATTATTTGTTATTTTTTTTGAAGCTTTTGAGAAATAGTTATGTTTTGAGGTCATTTTTGTGTCACTGACTATGTTGTGTATTCCAAGTGGGACGATCGACGTGATGTGTTTTTATAAGACCTTTTGCACCAAAAATAACGCTCCTTTTGCACAGCTCTGCCCACTTTATGCACAACTTTTATCCGGAAAAATCTCACTATGCATGTCTGAAAGCCAGAAGACTAATCCGAGGAACTCTATTGTACATCACAACGTAGAAGCATTCTATCAAACGAGTGATTCGAGGCACTGAGATACAATTAACTTGCGCAGGGTTATTACACGATTTGATGGTGCTAAGGCTCGAACACATTGCCTTTGACGTACATTACGAACAACAATCATTGTTGAGTCATACTGTCTAGGGTAGAAGGCGAGATAATTACGATAAAAATGAGGAGAGAAATGATTAGTTTCCAATTGTCTCAAAGAGTAAAGAACGGTCAAGTTATGATCTAGCATCTTTCATAACCATTCTGTCCATCTTTCATTGCATTTAGAATGTTACGTTTTATTTTTTTAAACGTAATAATGAATGATAAGACATTAAAGTTCAAATACAAACGTTGACTTTTTCAAGTTAAATAGACGAACACAACGGAACAAAACACTTAATTTTCTTTTTCACAACACCAATATAAGAGAAATTATTTTTCAGATAACACTTTTTTTGTTGAGATGGTTATTGTTAATGATTGTTTTTCAAATTCGAAATTTCTTTTTTTATCATACAAAGTCTATCCTCTCAGATCATGATACATTATAACTAGTATTTTAATAATAACAGTTGGCTAAGTTAATCTTCTTCTTTTTTCTCTTGCAGTTTTAATGATTGTAACACAGGGTAAAGTCGGCGATTTGAAATATACGAATAATGAGCAGATTTCATCGTCAAAATTTTATTTCTCAAAATTATATATCACATTGGGTACGATCTGTGTTCTCGTTCTTACCGTTCTGGCATTATCAATAGCATTAGGTGTCATATCTAATAGAAGAAAAAGTGACATTGTTCATGTATACACTAATATAGAACCTAATAAAACGATACCATCGTTAGTCGATTCAATAAACATCGATCAATTATTAACACATTTAAAAAATCTTCAACAAATTGCTCAATCATCAAATGGTACACGGATGATCCATTTACAAGGATTTAATTCTACTGTTGACTACATCTACTCACATTTAACTCAAAGAACAAATTTAGTCAATATTCAAAAGCAACATTTTTATGTGAACAATTTCATGGTGGATGGTACACCGATTCTGACAGCTTTTGTCGATGGAAAACAACTTAATTTTACTTATTATTCTAATTTTACTCATATGATCTACACAGGTCAAGCAACAAATTGGACTTTACTTGGCTATTCATTATCGATTATTCCGAATTTGGGTTGTGTCGACAATGATTGGCTGGATGCTCGGGATCGTGTTGCACTTGTTAGAAGAGGAAACTGTACGTTTACTGAAAAAATTCGTTTGGCGACGAAAGTAGGTGTGAAAGGATTTCTATTGTATAATGATGGTTTACCTTCTGCTCCTTCGAATCGAGAAATATTAAATAATACACGTGCTTCAGAAGGAACAACATTTCCCACGTTGTTTCTGTCGTATCAAGCTGGTCAAACTCTTTTGATAAATCCTCAAAATACAACTGTTTTTATCACCATCAAACTCAAAGATGTTCCACCATCAGCAGTTACAAATATTTGTGCTGATACTCACTCTGGTGATAAAACACAAACAATTGTCATTGGTAGTCATAGTGATAGTGTACAAGCAGGAAATGGTATTAATGATAATGGAAGTGGAACAGCTGCTAATCTTGTTTTAGCAACAAATTTGGATAAATTATTTCAGATGTCAACGTATCGTCCATACGCCTATCGTGTTCGATTTTGCTGGTGGGGCGGAGAAGAATTTGGTTTACTCGGGTCGAAAGATCACGTAATGAAAGCAAAAAATAATTCGATCGTTGGTGAAAGATTACAAGATTATTTAGTAAATTTGAATTTTGACATGCTCGGTTCACCAAACTTCATTTTTGGTATTTATAATGGAGCTTCGGCTAATAATATGACGACACCAGCACGTGCTATTCCTGGTAGTATTAAATTAACTGAAATATTTCGAGATTATTTCAATAGAAAACAATATCCATGGGATTTGACAAAATTTGATGGTCGAAGTGATTATGGACCATTTTTAGCCGAAGGTATTGCATGTTCAGGTTTGACGACGGGAGCTGATGGTGTTAAAACTCAAGAGCAACGTGATCGTTATGCAACAATGTTAGGTCAACAAAAAATTGGTCTAGGTATGCCTAATGTTATTTATGATCCATGTTATCATAAAGTGTGTGATACCGTTCAAAATATTCATTTATTCGCTTATGAAACAATAGTACAAGCAGCAGCATATACTATTGAATATTTGGGACGATTAAATGATTTGAAAGCATATTTATATCCGTCATGAACATGTCGGAAGTTTCGTCTTAGTCCTGCACTTTTTCTCATTAGACACAAAAACTATTCTTTACTCGGAATCTCCGTCAGAAATCTTCATCTATAATAGTATTAATTAAAAACAGTAGTAAATGTCGATTTTCATGTATGAGCTTATCGTCTGTGCTTCTCGACTTTATTGTATTCCTGATTGGCTAAAAATTATTGTTATTCTATGAAAAAGCGAAAACAGCATCATCGGAATTAGTCATCGGTTGTCGTTCATTAACGTCTTGTACATATGTTAATGTTCAATGTATACAACGTAGATTTATTGTTATATAAATATGGTATATCATTTTCGATCTCCATAACATTCGTTTGCACCATTCGCTTTTGTGTTAAAATGAAATTAAGCAAATCACCGTCATTGTCTTATCACATGTTTCCTTCCATTTGATTTCTTATAGTTTTCTATTGTCTTGTCATGGCTAACGAACAATTTATTTCACAAGATATAATGGAATCGTCACTTATTTAACTATAACATTAAAGTTTTATTCAAATTTTTATTGAGTTATCAGCTTTTTTAGTTACAAGTAAACAATATAGTAATTAGATGTGATAACTTATGGCACAATAGTATTTTATAAAAGTATTTTTCTCTTTGCTTCTCTTTTAAAAAACCCGAAACCTTGTCTATTGAGACAGCGTCTGACTTGGCTTTTCCCATTGTCCTCATTGCTTACCCGACTGTTGTAATTCGACTGAGTCCAATATAACATGATGTCCAAAACAGAGATTCATACCAATAAAAAATGTTTGACCCGAATCCGATTGATCACAAACGGTTCTTGATTGGGCTCGTCAAAAACTCCTTCGGCCGAGTTTCTGTTGAGCTGTTCTTTCCACTGGCAAGCTTCTTGCTCCACTGATCCACTGACTATTAAAAACAATAGGAACAGTTATAGCCAACTACCAAAGCAACGGAAAAATACAACCTGGCATGTTCAAACCAAATATACGGTAACAGAGATCTGTATCTGGTGTTATAACGTGCTCAAAACAGATCTAAACGTGTTAGAAGAATTGGAAGACAAAAAATTTTGCGATGATTCATTACAATACTCAAAGACAAGCAAATATTCAAGCAAAAAACTTTTTAACTGAATCTAGCTTGAAGTTAGATTTTTGAAACATTTATTCAGCTCCAATCTAACTCTTACCCGGTTGGGGCTAGCTAAATGTTCCAAAACTCTAGCTTCAGGCTAGATCCAAAAAAATACTCTGTGCTTGAGATAAGAGGTAAACCTCGATTCGGATTTGCCTCTATCATGCCTAATGTGAAATGAACTTGAACATGTAGCTTTAGACATGGACCTGGACGTAGGGTATGAAGTGAACTTTTAAAATTGATGTAACTAATTCTAAATGAGTCGCTTTGACACTAATCATTGTCTTGAAAGAAAAATGCTCTAAATGAAGCTTCTATTAAAGAAAAAAGCGAAAACAGAAAAGAGAAGTGCAGACGTTCGAATTAACTTACGATTTTAAAATTCATTCTTGTGCCCATTTTTCAGACCTAGATTCAATCAAGTCAGAACCCCTTTTATCCTACATCCAATTTCGATGGCGCTTCCAGTGACTAATGCTTATGGTCCCACTAGCTTACGCTCTGAAGCACTGAGTTATTGCGTGACAAGGGGCAACATGTGACTCAATGAGAGACACCTAAATCTAAAATTTGATCTTCGGCGATTTTCGAATTTCGCTTCCGTACATTCCCTACACGTATTTTAAGTCAGATCTCTGAAAATAACCCTAATTCGGCGGAGTATTTGCTACTTATCTCTGCACAGAAAACAAAAAGGAAAAATCGCCGCGGATAAAAACTTTAGATAAATATCTTAGCTTCAAAATAAAAAAAGAATGAAGGTTTTATGACGACTCGTCTAAGAGGAGATACAACTTTGCTGCACCAAAACCATATTCTAAGCAATGACGTCATCACTTCATTAATAATAATTCAGCGCCTTTAGCAAAACTAGTGTAACTCTGCAAGACGAAGTCGCACAAACCTGCTGGACATCTCATTCTGATCAGAACACTCTGCGCAACACAACTCTATGTCTGTTAAAACGGACAATCTCTAAAATTTTTTAATTAAAATGTGAAATTTAGAAAAAGGTGATTTTCAGGGCTTCCAGAAATCTTTTTCAAAAACCTCCAAAAACATTGAATTTTTGGCAAACTGAGATGAATTCTGAAAGATGACACTTTGGGATACTGAACTGTATGATTACTTCAGTTTCAAAGGTTTCGAAGAAAACATCGAGTTCCTGAGGGGGGACCCCCTTAAAACATGTGCTCAAACAATGTTTTTATTTATGTGGTGTTCGAACATCATTGTGATATTTTGTGCGAGGAAAAATGTGTTTTGATCACCAAATTTATTAGCAGTGAAATGATCACCAAAAATAAGACTTTTGATTATCAGATTAATTAGTAGACAGACAACAAAAAGAATATATAATATAATATATATATAAAGAAAACATATACGAGAGGAATATATTTACAACAAGGAATATGAACAGAACAGAAGCTTAATTTAATTTCTTTTAGTTTCTCTTGATCGCCTTAGATCATAATGTTTTAATCAACTTTTGTTATAATTATAGATAAATATTTTTCCTTCGTAATAAACTTTATTTATTTATTTTCAAACGTTTCGATTGACTTGTTCAATCCTCATCAGTTAATTAAATAAACAAACAATTAATTAATTAAATTAAAATACACAAATTGAACAAAATTTTCTTTTTGTTAATAATACATAGGAACTCCTGACATACATACAGTAGATGACAAAAACTGTATCATGACAGAGTATCTTTCACTTTTTATACTAACTTTTTCTTTTCTGCCATAATCTAGAAAATTCTTGCTTATACAAGTTACAAAATTTAAAAGAAAAAGAATAAGAAAGAGAGGGAATCAAACATGACTCGTTTACATTTCTCAGACTGCCTGCTTATAATTTTTGATGTACAAGATGGATTTCTTTCAAAATTCGGTATATTATACTGTTAGTTATAATTATACTCATCTCATAGTACGAATGTATGATGAGAAATTTTAAAAAGGTTTTTTTTCTCGTCTTTTTTGAGAGATTCTTCAGAAATCGTGTACCTGCGTATTTGGGTTGTCACTTTGTGGCTTCCCAAAAACTCGAAATATCAATTGCAAACAAAGTGCATTCATAGGTAATCGACTATGACGCATTCAACGGACATATATCTGGGGTTCACAAATGATTTCCAGAAGATCTTCAGAAAATCTTTTTAGAAATAGCGAATTTGAAGTTAAACCAAAAAATCTTAATAATTAAATAAATAGATTACGGCATACCTAATGGACATATGATCCGTGCTTAGTGAGGCTTTACAGTGGGTTTCTAGAGAATTTCCACAAATTTTGTTTTGATAAACATTGACACTTTAGCTAAAACAAAAGGCTTTCATAGATAATGAACTGCAACGCTTTCAGCTACTAGATAATTGAGGTTTCCAGAAAACTTTTAAAAGACTCTCAGAAAACCTTTTTGGATTTATTGACGTTTAAAACTAAAAGAAATGATTTATGTACGATACGGAGTATGATAAGTTTATGAATTTTGTTTGTGCTTAGGCGGCAAACAAATTTCTGGAGATCCTTTGGGAACCCACAGTAAAGCCTCATAAAGCTCTGATTATATGCTCATTAGATATGCCATAATCTATTTATCCTTAAGATTTTTTGATTCAACTTCAAATTCGATATTTTTGAAAAGATTTTCTGGCGATCTTCTGGAAATCATTTGGGAACCCTAGACATATGTCCAATGGGTGCGTTATAGCCGATTACCTATGAAGGCACTTTTTTTGCACTTCAAACTTTAAAACTTCTTAAAAATTAATTTCATTTTTTAGTTCTTTGCGATTTTAATTTTAATTTTAAGCAATTAATAAAGATTGTTTTTTTCTCCAATCATAGTTTTATATAGTAATACTCGTAGTTTATGGGAAATATTTAATTTTAACAATTTACTAAATCAAGGATTTTTTAAAAGACTTTTAAGTCTTTTTCCAAAATTTATTTCATAATTGAAGCAAGCATACTGTAAAAAAATGTGAAAATATGTATATTTTCTTTATATATTTTTTATTGTCGGTCTAGTAATTAATCTGGTAATCAAAAGTCTTATTTTTTGGTGATCATTTCGTTACTAATAAATTTAGTGATCAAAAGTCACTATTTGATAATCAAAAATATTGATTACCCTTTTGTGCATATTGTTCATCAAATTGAATAGTTGGTTTAAGAGGCCTCAATTGCATTGAAATTACATAGTTTAAAACGACTTTCTTATGATAAGAAATAATCAAATTTATAATCAACCGTATCCTCTATTAAAAGTAGATAGACTAAATACATGTCATTGTATAATTTAACTTGAACGTGATTAAACGTGCAGTAATTTTGCAATATTTTCAATAATTATTATGTATCTGCAATATTTTATTGAATTCTAAGTAAAATTTATATTTGAATAAATTTTTGAGACAAACTATATTTTAAACTTTAACAACACATTGTCATCATTTTTCTTTTTACATTCCAGTTGTATTTATAAAAGACTGTAAAAGAATCATTCTGTTTTTTTTATTTATGTTTCGAGCTCACATCTTTATCATATGAATGCTCATTTTTTATCTAAAAATCATTTCAAGAATAAGGAGAAAGAATGTAGCCGTAAATAACTTTCTAGGAGAAAATAGTCAGTTTATCTCGTTGATGTCATTGACAAGATTAAAGAGAAGACCTAGAGTAGTGTTCCCTATGGTAATTATAGATTTAAAACTAAAAAAATGTTGTAGGTAAAGTTTGAATGATAATAAATTTATCTAGATAAATTAGAATAATACAATCATAATATTTTTGATCTATTTCATATTTAAATGTTTAAATTTTGATTTTTATATTGCTATT